AGTGAGCTGTTATATGAACCTGCGTGAGTTTTCTATTACTTGTACAAAATGCATCTCCTGTAACTTGTATGTTCAGTTTCATTTAAGGAACATGATTCCCTGCTTACTTTTAAGTAATGTTATGTCTGCTTTGTGTAAAGTGAGCTGTTACATGAGCCTGTGTGAGTTCTCTATTACTTGTCCAACATGAATCTCCTCTTGCTTGTATGTTGAGTTTCATTCATGGAACACGATTCTATGCTTAGTTTTCAGTATTGTTATGTCTGCTTTGTGTAAAGTGAGCTGTTACATGAGCCTGTGTGAGTTTTCTATTACTTATCCAAAATGAATCTCCTTTTACTTGTAAGTTCAGTACCAAATAGGGAACATGATTCTCTGCTTAGTTTAAATTAATGTTATGTCTGCTTTGTGTAAAGTGGAATGTTACATGATACTGAGTGAGTTTTCTATTACTTATCCAAAATGCATCTCCTGTTATCTGTATGTTCAGTTTCATTCAAGGAACATGATTCTATGCTTAGTTTTAAGTATTATTATGTCTGCTTTGTGTAAAGCGAGAGGTTACATGGGCCTGTGTGAGTTCTCTATTACTTGTCCAAAATGAATCTCCTCTTGCTTGTATGTTCAGTTATATTCATGGAACACTATTCTATGCTTAGTTTTAAGTATTGTTATGTCTGCTTTGTGTAAAGTGAGCTGTTACATGAGCCTGTGTGAGATTTCTATTACTTATCCAAAATGAATCTCCTTTTACTTTTAAGTTCAGTACCAATTAGGGAACATGATTCTCTGCTTAGTTTAAATTAATGTTATGTCTGCTTTGTGTAAAGTGGAATGTTACATGAGCCTGTGTGAGTTCTCTATTACTTGTACAAAATGCATCTCCTGTTGTTTGTATGTTCAGTTTCATTCAAGGAACATGATTCTATGCTTAGTTTTAAGTATTGTCATGTCTGCTTTGTGTAAAGCGAGAGGCAACATGGGCCTGTTTGAGTTCTCTATTACTTGTCCAACATGAATCTCCTCTTGCTTGTATTTTGGGTTTCATTCATGGAACACGATTCTATGCTTAGTTTTAAGTATTGTTATGTCTGCCTTGTGTAAAGTGAGCTGTTACATGAGCTTGTGTGCGTTCTCAATTCCTTGTCCAAAATTAATCTCCTGTTAATTTTAAGTTCAGTACCAATTAGGGAAGATGATTCTCAGCTTAGTTTAAATTAATGTTATGTCTGCCTTGTGTAAAGTGAGCTGTTACATGAACCTGTGTGAGTTTTCTATTACTTGTACAAAATGCATCTCCTGTAACTTGAATGTTAAGTTTCATTCATGGAACACGATTCTATGCTTAGTTTTAAGTATTGTTATGTCTGCTTTGTGTAA